CACCGTTGTGAAGACCCCTGAGCTGGAAGGACGACCAAGATTAACCGGAGACCCATGGGCGAGATGCGAGTGGTGGGCAGCTTTGGAGGAGGGCGCCTGGGGCCGCTGCCAGGCCTGCCGACCGGCATGGGGACGGCAGGTGGTGTGGCTCCTCAGGAAAGGGTCCTCGGAGACCACGGGCCCGATGCCTCCCCCACGCACCTGTCAGGATTCGAACCAGCCTTTCTAGGGGAGCAGGAAGCAGGAGGCCGGCCTGCGGACGCCCCAGCATGTCCGGGTCACCCGAGGCCAGGCGCCATCTCCTCCAACCCAGACGTCCTCGTGATAAAGCCCACTCCTCGTGTGTTTAAGGCACGCAGCTCCCAAACACAACTCCCATTCTCTTTTCTGTCCAGACCCCCGGGAGTGTAAAGGCTGGGGTCCAGCGTGGGTGCTGACCTTCTTCACAGCTGCCCCAACTGAGGCCTGCAGCTAGCTGTCCTTAGAAGGACAGCCTGTCGGCAGAAGTTCCCCTGGGCAGCCCCCGCCCGGGGAACCCACTCACAGACTCTGCTCCCCACACAGGAAGCCCACTGCCCAGCCCAATCGTGGTTTGTGTTTTCCAAAATTGGAACAATGAAAAGCGGTGTTTCACAGGTAACACACGGCACCCTGGTTGGACCAGCTCCTGGGGGCTTGCAGACAAGCCACGGAAGGGGGCTGGTCAGAGGGTCCTGGGAGTCCTGTGCGGAGTGCCCACTGCTCCCCGGCGCGAGTCAGTGCTCAGGCTCAAGGCCCCAGGCTGGGACGCCACTCCAAGGGGCCCACGGTGTACGGCGCCCGCCCCAGGGGCAGCCGCAGAACAATCGTCCCCACAGGCACCAGGCGCCATGAGCCTTGGCCCCAGGCTCGCCCCTGCCTCAGTGTGGGCTGCCCTGTCCTCCAGGACACAGCCTCTGGCTCCTCGCCTGCAGGGCCAGGGAAACAGGCCGGCAACTTCCCAGGTGGTGGTGGGAATTCAGGGCAAGGATCCCAAAAGTCACGGCCGGAGCCCAGCCCACAGTCGCCGCTGTTTCAGGAGCCACATGGAGGACACTGTTACCAGCCCCCAAACCAGCCACCGAGAACAGCACAAGGGGCCACGCACTTACCAGAAGCGCCTGCTTCTCTCTACAATCAAAGTGCTTCAGCCGTCTGAGAGCCACCGTGATGCTGGAAGCAGAGTGAGCAAAGGTGAGCAGGAACGGACTCCATCTTGTGACCCAAAGTCCCCTTCCCCTGAGAAGTGGGCAGGGCCGCGGAGCCAGGCCGCCGGTGGTGGGGACGAGCAGATGGCTAACCACACGGCAAGTCAGAGACTGGGGCAGGTGGCTGCTCGCAGCCCCCCTGGTGACCAGACCCTGCTGCGGTCTGTGGGAAAATGGAAGATCCAACCAGCGTCTGGCTGGGCTGCCTTTTGAAGCTGGAAAACAGGACTGCACAGCTGGGCCCTCTGACACAGCCTTTGTTGGGACGCTCCTTCGGGGAGTGGGCGCCAGGGGACCTGTGGGGCTCTGGATTCTGCCCCCCAGAAGCAGCCTCCACCCGGGGGCACCCTCAAGAGCAGACAGCAGGTTTACCCTCTCCCTTTGGGGTTCATGTTTCCTTCGATAAAAAGCACACTTGCTTTCTTGTCTCTCCGCCTGACGCTTTTCACCTGGTGGCAAATCCAAGAACATAGGGTATCAAGGACCCAGAAGGTCGTGGGTTTTAAGACACTTTCCGGACGTCACCTCGTGGAGCAGGTGACAAGGAACAGGGCCGGCTCGGGCTGACCGAAGCAAAACCAACACTGGGAAACGCTGGGAAACCGCCAGCATCGCTCTCCATGGTTTTACAGCTGAGCACAGTCAGGCGGCGTTTCTTCCGTCCAGTTTGTAGTGAGAGCAAATTACCCTGTGCCAACGTGGCTGGGTCTCCCCAAGGCTCACGAGCCAGCTGGGGAAGGCCCGGCCCCTCTCCCACCTCCCGCGCTGTGCACGCCGGGGAACCTCCTCTACCGGCATCACCGAGAGCCCCGGGCGAGCCCCGGGTGAACCAGCGGGGCCCCAGGGAACCGGTGAAAGAGCAGAGGTTGGGGAGAAGGCCACCCACTGCAGGGGAACATGTCGCCTGCCTGGGAGCGAGCGCTAGAGGCCAAGGGGCCCCCATATACAGCCCCCCAGGGCTGCGCCGAGGCTCCCCGTACACCCGCAGTCTGTGCTTTGTCTGAAATGCTGCACGGACCTCTGCTCTGTCCTTCCCGCAACCTGTTGCAGGCCAGGAGGCCATGCTGACCCAGATGAGATCAGACTCATCGCGACAACAAAAGCTTCTCCATCGTGGCAAATACCTTTCAGATTCACATGCCACTGTCTCTTCCTAAAAACTAAACAACTACAGCCACAACCGTCAGAAGCCCATCTCTGCCGGAAGAGGACAAAGAGGGGCCAGTCGGGGCACCTGCAGGGGCAAGAGCAGCCGAGTGCGGCCTCCAGCTCAAGTACTCCCGGCGGCAGCGCCCAGACGTCAGCTGCGAGGCCGGGCGCCCACTGCCCGGGGGCTTGGCCAGGGCCCCGAACACCTGCTTGTTACACATACAACTGATGCCCACCCTAGAATCTAGAAACTAAAGAGCTGCAACAGGGAAATGTCCAAATGCACAATACTGCCAACGAGCGCACTGCAGAGCTCTCGTGGAGACAGGTTTTCTAGGCTTGTCTGGTAAGAGCCTCCCACTCAGCTGCACCGGAAGGATTAGACCCCCTTCTGCAGGTAAGCGCGTCCCCACGCTGACACCACAAACCCACCGCTTCCCTAGGGACAATGCCGGCCCCGGTCCCAGCGCCCGGACCAGGGGGGCCTGCCCGAGCAGGCAGGGAGTTCTTACCACTGCAGGCCAGAAGGGGTATTTTTGGTACTTCAGCCAGACTAGCATTCCTACTTCAAACGAACGTGGTTCTAGAATTGGAAGAAAGACAAAGAGAGACGAGTCAGAGCCCCATCAAGCGCTGGGCTCAAGAGCCTGAGAACACAACCCTGCGAGCGCAGCACCTGTAACGGAGCCCAAGGACTCGGGAGACGGGTCTGCCACTCCCGCGACCTCGAGATCCGAGGGTCAGGGAAGGGCTGGGCTCCTGGGGTGACCACGTGCCCTGCTCACGGGGGCTCTGGCACCTTTGCCACTTCTCTGTAAATCTCAGATTATTTCAGAGTAAAGCATTTTTTAAAAAAAAGTGAGCATGTAAACAAAAGGGAGACAAAAGCACACGATGAAGACCCACTTGAAACTGAACTTCTGTGAGGCTCACCTGCCTGAGAAGCCGGCGGCTTCAAAAGGGAAGAAAGAAAATTACTGAAACAATCATGACTACCAATTTCTGAACAAAATTTAACTGCATTCTCAACGAAAAAAGTTCCCAAGCAAGTAAACAACTTAAATGTTAAAAAAAAAAATCAGGTAACAAGCTGGCAGAGAACAGAGACTGTTCCTGCACATGCTGAGCCGGGCTTGCATCCACGCTGGCCGGGGAAGAGGCCTGCCGTGCCGGGCCAACAACGGGAAGGCCACGAAGGCAAAGGAGACCAAGGGCAGGGTGGGGGGCCGCCTGCTGCACGCGGGGGCTGGTGCCCCGCGAGGGGAGCTCCTCTCTAAGAAAAGAGGCAGGGCCGCATGAGGACAATGGGTCTCGGCTGCAGACAGCCAACTAAGGGGCCAGCCGGAAAGCAGCAAAAAGCCCCAAACCAAATGAAGGGGAAACTGGGAGAAAAGAGTCAACATCCGGGTTTCTGGGGGCTGAGATGACCGACACTCAGGTGGCAACAAGGAAGGAAATGCCCTTTTGCGAAAGGCACGGTGCCGCTCTCACGCCCAGTGAAACCCCGCAAGGAGTGACTCCCCAGAATCCACACCAGGCGCACTGTAGCCCCCCAGGCGTGGAACCATCCAGACGCCGGGTGGGTGAGGGAGGACCTGGTGAGCGACATCACTCCCGGTAAATGACAGCTAGTCACCACCGGGAATAATCAGCAGACCCTGTGGAGATGTAGAAAAAACCCCGAGACACACCGGGCAGGTCAGGCCGGCGGGCCGTGACACACCGACCAGATATGCTCGCCCTGGGGCCCCGCAGGCCTGCTCTGCACCCTGGCTGTGTGGGGAGAGGCGCCCCGGACCTCCCTGTACTGTTTCTGCAACACCCCAGAAATGTGCAATTATTTCAAAACGAAAAGATTGAAGAAAACAACAACCCACCCAGACCAGGCTAAGATGAATGGTTCACAGGTGAGCCTGAAAACAGAACCGGCTCTAAACGATTTTGTTTCAAGCAAATTAAGTTTCCATCTGTCGTCAGTTGGGACGTCAGGCCTGTGTCTGATCCCTTCTCAGAGAGGACATGGTGCAGTGCACACGTTGGAGGCACCCTGGGCTGGAGACCCTGCCTCTCGGGACGGACAGATGGACATGCACACCATCCCCGGAGGCCCGCGAGGCAGCATCAGGCCACACCCAAGCGGTGGCGACAGAGCCCACTTAACCGCTTGGCTGTCCTCTTCCCCAGCGCCTCTCCCCTCGGCGCTGGGCAAGGACTCTGCGCAGGACAGACAGCGGCGGGGTGCCGGGAGCCGCCACTGCCCCGCACCCTGAGGCTGCTTCTCACCACGATACAGGAGGATCCTTGGGGGCTCCTCGTCCTCCTCGTCCTCCTCCAGGACGGAGCGAACAGGATCAAGCTCCCGTGCCTCTTCGGAAGACTGATGGGCTGTCGGTCACAGAAGATGAGACTGTCACTGTCGCGGTCCTGGGGACTCACCCCAAGAAAATGTTGGTGCGAGCAGCACAGGCCCCGTGACACAGATTTTCCCACTTTCAAATGCAGACTGGGACCGACCGTCTGGGTCAGAGCACGTTTAAAAGACAGATGAGCAAGCGGGGTGGAAGAAGCAGGCACCCGGGAGCTCGGGAAGTGGAGGAATCGGGTGAGAGGTCCTTCCGTGTGGCCTGCCCCTTAGCCAGACCACCCGGGATTGGGGGTGGGGGGAAGCGCGGCTCTGGGACAAGGTGGCAGGCAGCCACCTCCTCTGAAGAAAACGGCTCAGGGGCTCCTGTTTCTGCGCTTCCAATGAGCCAGGGAGGCAGCCTCTTGAAAGGAGCAGAATAAAGGCAGAAACGCCGAGTACGGGTCTGTGTGGAGCAGGAGAGCTCGGGGTACCCAACCACGCAGAAATTAAGATCCCTGCATTAGCATTTCAAAACTAAGTGGGATGCTACAATGTCCAAAAGAAGAACAGCACAGCACAGGGCTGCAGCCACACAGAAATACGTCTACACAGGAACTCTGAAAAAGTCAGGAGCCTTTTAAGTGAGTTAATCACTTTTGAGATTCCTGCCAATTTAACGGGAATGCATGATGGCTCCCACAACAGTGAAGAATGAAAGAGTTAATCCTCAGGGAGCAGACACAGCGTTACCGCCGTACCAGCCGAGGTGCTCCGCCGGGCTCCGCTGGTTCAGAACAAAAATAAAAACACATGAGAGTTTGGGAGCAGCTGAAATAATTACAGCCCAGTAAGAGAGACAGACAAAAAGGATTTGGGAAAATCTCTGCTCAGGATCTACTTTGGTAACGATCTTATTAGGATCTGGTTAAAAACAAATGGGCACCCAGCTGCGAATCGGCCGTGGGAGAACCAAGCGCCTCCCGACCCCGGTGCCGAGACCCAGCCCTGGTGGAGACCTTACCTTCCTCGGTGAGACGGACGCTTCCAGTCTCCTCTGCGGGGCTGCGTGGAGCCACATGTACCCTCAGCCTCTGGCTGCCACCCGGGCACAGCTGCTCGGCGGGGCGGCCGTGAGCATCTGGGACAGAGGGGCCACCCAAAGGCACCTCCAGGTGGCCCTCACGGGCCAGATGGACCCTCCTCCGCAGCTCTGGGAGGCGAGTGCAGGCCCACCAGGCCGCCTGCCCTCATCTCACTCTCCTCTTCACCAGCTCCCTCTGAAGACAGAGGGGCCTTCTGACACAAGCCGCTCTCCTGAGCTGGATTCCTCCTCCTCTTACTCAGGGTGCTCCGGGTTTTCCGCTGTACTCTTGATCCACGACTGTCCTGAGAACCACCACCGCCCGAGGAGACCACCGGGTTGGGTGGGCTTCCCCCTGTCCCAAGCCTCTTCTTGGGGTCCACTTTGCACGTGGGGTCCCTTTCATGAGTGGGTGAAGCTGACGGCCCCTGGTGTGCACACCCCCTCCTCTCAGGCCCGAGCTGGCCCGACATGTCCTCATGGAGCAAAGGCAAAGAGCTAGGGTCTCGGAGCAAGGGGGCGAGCCCCGCAGGCTTCACCCTTGGAGACAGAGTGGGCCTTTCTGCTGTCAAAGAGCTTTCCTGACACAAGTGTGTTCTCTCGTTCAAAACATCCAGAGCCACCCGAAGCGATCGTCTGTAGGCCAACTCCTCCAGGGGCGCGACGGGGACCTGGTTCGGGGAAGCTGGGGGACAGAGAATGGACTTAGCCTGGGGATGTCGGAGCCCCAGGCACCGACACGCAGCTCTGTTCTGTGAGCTCGGGTGCCGCTCTGCGACCGCTCGCCCGGACCTGCAGGGAGGCCCTCACCTACGTTGTCCAAACCAGGGACTCAGGCCACAAAACAACAGCTGGGGTTCAGGGCTGCCAGGCTTCGTGCTTTCAAAAAGCAAGTGGACTGACCCTAACCTGTTTGGGTTACAAAGATAAATTCCTCCAGGTTACAGAACAACACCACCAGCAAAACGTATTCACATGCGCCTCAAATCTTCCCTCAGCCTGAAGATTTCAAATTCAATCAGAGTCAATACAAACCCGTGCCAACTAAATAAAGAACTCTGCTGGCCACGTATTCTCGGGTGGGGGTGGGGTGGGGTGAGAAACAGCCGACGAAAAGGCTCTTTGTGGGCTGCTAAACTGCCCATCCTTCTTTGCAAGGGCATTTCAAAGCCAGAAAGCAGCATCTCGGGCCCTGGAATTTCAGCCTGACCTCCTCGCTGCAACAGTTTTTATTCGTTCGTTCCGACACAGAAGCACGGCGCTATTTATTTGAACAAGATGATGGATGCAGCACCACAGCTCAACAGGCATAATACCGCAGTCAGCACAGTGTTTCCCGTTTGACGTTAAAGGCACCCACAAATAACCAGCCCCCCAACACGGTCTCCACAAGCGGCGACGGCGCCCAAGGGTTGATGTCAACACTGCCGGAGGTGTGTGTCCTGCTTTGAACAAGAGCTGTTTTTCCAAAGACACAGGAGAACAGACCCTATGTCATAGACACCAGTGGAAGGAACCCTGGTGGACCTTCCCACAGGACAAAAAGTTCTCTGCACACGGAATAGGCACTCTCACTTTGAGGAGAGAAAAAAACGCGTTCGCACGCAGGTCTGTGGAAGTGCGGGCCCTAGGGAGCAGGCGCCCTGTGTGCAGGGCTGTTGGGGCTGAGCCGGGCTCCGGCGGGAGTCAAAGCGCCCCACTGCCCAGCGGCCTGGCCCCCACCCTGAGAGCTGTGTCGCCAGCGGTGGCAGCAAGGCTGCTGCTGGTGGTCACGCCGTTCTTTCTCCCCAGGGCTCAGCGATGGAATTTAAATGCACACCCAACTGCTTCTCAAACTTCTGGCAGAGACTGGACCAGCAACAGGACCAGTTTACAGCCTCACCATGTGATATGCACCAAAACCCAAAAACAAACAAACAAACAAAAAACAAGGGAGGGACGGAGGAAAAGCCTCTCCGCCTTTCTTCAGGGAAGCGCACCCGAGCAGTGTGCTCTGCAGGCCACAGACGTGACCCGTGGACCCTGACACTGCCAGGGGCCCGTCCAGGAGCCAACAACAGGATGGGCTCCAGGGACAAATTCTAGAGAGGCCTAAGAAAGCAGATCCATTTTTCTTCCTCAGCTCAGGGAATCACGTTCCCCTGCACAAAGGGAGAAAACGGAGCACAGGGTCACCCTGCACTCGGAGAGCCAAGTCCCCACCTTCTCCCAAGCCACCGCCGCCTCTGTTCTAACCTAACGGGCACTCGTCAACGTGCTCTCACCTAGTGAGGAAGCGATGCCTTCAATGTGAGCCTTCTTCAGGATCTTGGCCCCCGAGCTTCTCACCGTAATTCTGCAGGGACAGAAACGGCCGTTAGGCGCCACCAGCAATGCCACAGAGACGTTTTCAAACATGTTTTTCCTCAGATGACAAAAGAATTAGACCCGTTTTCTTCCTTCGCACCCTTCCACGTAAACCAGAAGTCACAGCCAACTAGGAATTCCTGTGCGGGGAGGTTAGAGGCAGCAAGGACCCTGATGAATGTTTTTCTGGGTTTTTTTTTTCTTTTCCCTTTTTAAGACAGAAAGGATTGGCTGGATATAAGAGTAAAAATGAATTCAAATTGTGACTTTTATGAGGCAAATCCTACTTTCAACTGCACAAATAACTCCTTTGTTAGGTTTTCAGAGTAGATGATAATGTCACTAAAAGCTGTTTACAGCCCAGCAGGTGTGTTTTAGTTTAAAAGGATGTGCTTTCCTTTTAAACTCAAGTATTCAATTACCTTCCCAGCCTCGGGGAAACTGTGGGCTGCGGACAAAGCAGGCTTAGGAGTAGCTCTGAAGAAAGGGGGAAGGGGACCCGGGGAAGCTGGGGCTGCAGCCGACTTGGTTTTATTCTCTATTCAGAACTGGGAATTCTCCCGCTGGACATACCGATGCCACAGTCACACACGATCTGGGCATTTTAATCACTCCACACGATCTACATCCTTCCATCACGGGCAATCAAGAGCTCAACAGTAACGCGCTACCACACACCCATGCCTTTGCCTTCTCAGTGCTAAACAAGTTTATTAGAGGGACAGGCCCAGACATCAAATATTCCAAACTCATGGGGCTGTCACACAAGTTTCTGCAAAAAAGACACACAAATAAATCTCTGGGAAGGAAGTATCCCTACTCGGCCCCCAACAAGCGCTGACCTAGCGTTTAACCTGCACTTACTCTATTTTTGTGCTCACCTCTCTGGAGAGCACACGTAATACTCATACAGATCAACTTCCAAACTTGCATAAAATAAAAGCAGCTGTTCTCCTCTCAGGGTTATTACAAGCCCTCACAGTAACTAAAGAGAGAAGCCCTGAAGAGCTTTTTGGGGGGAGGGTCAGAGGGTGGGAGGTGTGGTGTCAGAAATCCCATATGGAAAAAACACAACACTTAGCTTTTTGTCTAGGGAGAGTATCTGAACATTTAGAAAAAATTCCTTTTTTCTCTTATTTTTTGCTGACTTCTCATTTCCAGACAAGACCTACGTCCAAAAAAAAAAAAATCCTTGTTATTAAGACACAACAAACAGTTGACCCAAGGCAAGAAGCACTGGCAAGACATAAATGCAAATGCAGTAGATGATTCTTAAGGGATATGAACCACAGGACTTCTGAGACCAGGAAACTGAGGCCTGAAGGGATGGCGCAGACCCAGACTAGGACCTTGGTTTTGCCTCGTAATCTGGCGCCCTTCCTACCACGTTGCTGGAAAGTCTCCCATTATTTACTACCAGGCCTCGCTGCCAGACATTTCCTTGAGTTACAGCCTTACATGCCTTTTTATAGCTGGCTCTGTTAAAAAAAAAAAAATTTTTTTTACCGTGGGAAAAAAAAGACACTTCCGGAACTATAACCTTGTAAGCACTCGACCAAAACCCCATTACATGGGGAAGGAGAAACAGTGCCAACAGAGAGGAGCGCCAACTGTTCTGACTCAATTATTTCACTGAAGTAACTCCTAGGTATCTCCTGATAAAGATTTTACTTGTCACTCGAAAGTCATTTCTAATTCCTGAAATTATTGAAATAATGGCTGTCACCTTTGCAGGCCATAATCGCTTTTTCCATCGGCAGAGGACATACTTGGCATCCGTCATGATTTAGACTCATGTGGCAAGTGGTAATGATTTGGCACAAACAGAGCACTTGAAGGTCTGACGCGATGTGCCCTGCAACAGAATTTGCACGGTGGTTTTTAACATTCTTTGTTTTCGATTTCAACGCAGACACAACCCTCAAGGGCAAAGGTTAGCGGGGGCTTGATCCTCAAGTAGATGGTTCAATTCCATCATCTGGCACTGAGAGGCTCAGTGCCAAAGAGAAATGAATGGCTCTGTACCTAGGGAGACGCCTGAATTTTTTTCATAAATAAAATACAGACAAATTCCCTCCCCAAGGTTCTGTCTAGATTATTTTTAAAAGGCTCCTGAATAAATCATTTCTGTGCTGAAGGCCTGCCTCGGACCTCGGGACAAGAGGCGTTTTAAACAATCAAAGCTTACAACCCTCCCCTGTTTGGGGAGTTAACAGCTGACCACCGCGCAAAAAAATAAAATCGGAGGAAAAGGACCGCTCTGCCGGCTGCCATGTCCCTGAAAGGACGGGGACAGCTGCAGACCGCTCATTACATCAGTAGGGACGGCTGGTCTGGCTGGTGATAGAAAAGCAGCTGGGGGCGGGGAGGGGGTGCAACTATGCAAACGGGGGGTCGCCATAGCAGGAGCGGGGTCTAGTTAGCAAAGCAGGTTGAGGAAGCAGAGGTGGGGGTTCAGGCAGCAGAGGGGTTGAGGGAACTGAGATGAGGGTTTAGGCAGCAGAGGGGTGACAGGCAGAAGTGGGGGTCGGGGAGTAGAGGTGGGGTTCAGGCAGGTCAGCAGGGGTTCAGACAGCGACGGAGGGTGTTCAGCGAGCAGAGGCAGGGGTCACGGGGAGCCTCCT